AGCTGAGAGGCCAAGGAACAAAAAGTCCATGTGTGCTTGGCAGGATGAGCATCAGGCAGAAAACAAGAGATCCCTTTTCTCCTTCCCCCCAAGATGGGTGGGTGTTCTTTTCCAAACATACAACCAGACACCATTTAAACATTTCTCTCGTGTACTGGTTCTAAGGACTCAGAGAGACTTAAAAGCAGTATCAGAAGAGACTAAAAGTTCTTGCTTCCCAAAGCAACTCTGCCATGGGCACCCTCTGGATGCCAGCAGCCCTGCAGGATCCCAGAGGGATGCTGCAAAACCTGGAGTACACACTCACATGTGTGATTCTAACACAAGGTGGTTTAGGTTGGAGGGATGTTAAAGTTCATTTCACCCCACCCCTGCCTTGTCAGGGACACCTCCCAACTGTCCCAGGCTGTTCCCAGCCCCAATGTCCAGCCTGGCCTTGGGCACTCAAAGGGATCCAGGGGCAGCCACAGCTTCTCTGGGCACCCTGTGCCAGTAGCGCACATCAGGCTACACAGAAGAGTAATTTTCTGTTTTGCTCACCTACTCCAAAATTTGGAGAGTCATCTGCAAGTCTTTCTTTGAAATTAATTCCATTCCTGACAGTTCAGGAAGCTGTTAGACCACTTCCAAATAAAACATGTGCCAGGGCCTRCCCACCCWCCCAGGGAACAATACCTGCCCAATAYCCCATCTATCCCTGCCCTCTGGCAGTCTGGATTATTTCACAGGAATATTTAAATGCTGTAAATATTATTTAGAGTACTGTATGGAAGCATAGGAATCCRCATGCTCCACAGGAGGTTCATTCTGAGAGGTCCCAACCATTCCTGGTGGCCCCATGGAAACCCTCCTTCAGGAACCACACGTTTAAATTCAGGTGTATTTTGAAAGAATATTAGTAACTATTTCCTACAAATTGTGCATTTATATGGAGCAAGTGAAATCRTACCTTGAGAAGATGCAATAATAATTACCWGTCCAGTCATTTACAGCCAATTAGTCATGCCCAGAACTAGAGCCTTCAAAGACATGGAGGCAGAGAATCTCCATGGAAATCTGAAGGGTTAAAATACATAGGAAAACCCAAACTTTTGAGACAACGGGTCTTCAGTGGAATTATTTTWATAGTATTATTAGGGTTTGCTAATCTACGTTATCAGTAGCAGTGTATTTACCTGCAATATAGGTCATTGATTATCAAGGATTGCCATCCCACAAAACCTTACTTCTATAAATTCACAGGATTGAGAAGYCAGCTCTCACAACTGTGGGCACACATAACCATGAGGGACAGTGCAGGGAAAGGAAATTGGAAATTACTGTGGAAGAGAAAAACACTGCACAGACTGAGCTTCCAGAYACCCATGATTATTTCACAATTCCAGACATGCATTTTACCAACAACTTGTGAAAAGTTTACTTCACAGAGAAAAGATGTCTACTTGGACACTAACAGTAATTAATTCAATTATCTTAAAAACAGCATATTAAAAAGGAAAATATAATATCCAACACAATTAAGTTTGATAAGAGAAAAAAAAAACCTTTATCAGTTAAGTTTTCTGTGTTTTCATTGATTGCAGTAACAGGAGTGCTGTAAAAATGCACCTTTTGCATGAAAAATAGAATAACTTTTCTTCCTGGGAATGCCTAAGGATACCTCTCTTCACTCCTTCCCACTCAAAATTATTTAATTTCTATTAAGTAGAAATTTTCTATTCTGGTCAAGAGGCTGATTCTCTGGAGGGCACAGACAATGCACTGTTTGCATAGGAGAGATTAGTTTCTAATTACTATCAGTAATTAGTGCATTCCTACAGCTAAAGCTGGAATTCCTCAGTCAGGAACATGACCACCTCTAGCCCTGCCATGCACAGARCTCGAGAGGGATTCATTCCAGACAGGTGGAACCACCAGACACCAACATGTGCTGTCCAAAACCTCTCAGCTCATGTTTGTTGTATGAAGGACTAGCAAATACTGTTATAAAACCTTCTATCTGCAATTAAAATCCCAACACACACCTACAGCAACAGAGCCACCCAAAAGTAATCAGTGGAATTGAATATATTCTTTTTGAACTACACAAAGTGCACTTTTAAAAGAGGGAAACTCCTTGTGCCACGGATTCCATAGAGGTTTTAGCACCTCACAGTGAGGTTTTCTGTGCCCAAGCCATTTATCACCAGATCTCAGCCCGGACCCCATTCCTGATTGTCTACCACCCCCCYCCCCCCCCCCAATTTCATGCCTGGCAAGTAAAAACAAAACCACATTGCTGTGGAGGGGGCATCCCAAGTTCAGCAGCTGTGTCCAACACAACGGCAGCGAGCACTCAAAGCTCCCAGCACACAACAGGAGCTGAGGAAGCCCTTGGTCATTTTATGGTAAAAATAAACCCAAGTCCCTCACTTCTCTTGGGTTCCAAGCAGATCAACTCTGAGCCACCTCTACCTGAAATGTGCCCCTCAAACCAATCTGCTGATGGTTTATTCTGATGTTACTGCACACAGCACAGGGCAATGCTCATGGCTGGTAACTCCTGATCACAGAATCACACACTGGTTTGGACTGGGAGGGATCGTAAAGTCCATCCAGTGCCACCCCTGCCATGGGCAGGAACACCTCCCACTGTCCCAGGCTGCTCCCAGCCCCAATGTCCAGCCTGGCCTTGGGCACTCAAAGGGATCCAGGGGCAGCCRCAGCTTCTCTGGGCACCCTGTGCCAGGGCCTCCCCATCCTTACAGGAAAGGATTTCTTAYGGAAAACTTCCATCCTGCTGATCTCTCCATTTCTCAAACCATTTTCCTTATTTTTCTTTTTTCTACTAACATTACTCTTCTATTTCTCTCTTTCCTGGTGTTATCCTACTAAAAGCTAAAATTACAATCCCTGATTACAGTACAAAGACAGACCAGCAAAGACTATTCAACGTCATAATTTAGAATTATTTCATTGCTAGATTCACATTCTTTCCTGAATCCAAATCTACCCTAATTGCATGATTAGAGGCATTAAGGAAAGGGCACCAAACAGCAGCAAGAGATGGAACAGGCACTGCCGGTCATGGCTTTGAGACCCCAACTCTTATTTTAGCTAAGAACCAGGACATAAAGGAAAATTCACAAGCAAAGACAGCTACTCTGCAAAGGATGTTATGGGGAATCAAAGACAGCAGGATATTCTAGAGGGAACACAGGAACTGAAAGAATGGAGCGTGGTTTGTGAAGCAGCGAGTRCAGGGAGCAGCCCACTCAGCTCCAGGGAAGTCTGAGCCTCAGACACTGGAGAAACTGTTCGGAAACTGTTCGTCTGCACAAAACATGACCCTTGTCAGGCTGCCAAAATCAGGGAGGGCACACCAGGGCTTATCACGCAGGCTGGAGTGGCTCAGCCCGCTGGGATTTACAGCGATGGCTGCACAGCCTGAGCTGGGAGTGAATAGAAAGAATGCAGCTGTTTTCTGTACCTGTACTTGGGATGCTGATACCTGTTCAGCATCCACAGTCAGGTACCACCCGCTGCACCTGGGAATGCAGAGACACGCAAGACTCCTCCTCCCACACCTCAGACCCTCAGGCAGAGCTCTGGGGGTGCAGTGGGAGAATTCTAACAGAGAAAGGAGAAATTGGTGTCAATTTACTGGTATAAACTATACAGAATCATGGGATACCCTGAGGAGGAAGGGACCCCCAGGATCACCCAGTGCCACCCCTGTCCCTGCCCAGCCCCCCAGCAATCCCAGCCTGTGCATCCCTGGCAGCGCTGTCCAAACGCTCCTGGAGCTCTGGCAGCCTCGGGGCCGTGCCCGTTCCCTGGGGAGCCTGGGCAGTGCCAGCACCCTCTGGGGACAGAAGAACCTTTCCCTGCCCTCCTGACCTTGCCCTAGCACAGCTCCAGCCGTTCCCTGGGTCCTAAGGAAGTGTCCTTTGTAAGAACATCATCAGATCATACTCAGCAAGGAAAGTTACAGGTGACTACAACAAAGGGCAAACGAAAGAAGGAAATACCGTGTGGATAACACTCTCCAGAGCCATCAACACCCAAAAGACAGTTTGGCTTTTTGACTTAAGAAAATGCATCCTTTAGGAGCTTGACTCCACTGTATACTTAGTTAATATCCACAGCTATTGCCTTAAATATCTATTGCCATATAAACTCTAGACAAAAAGCACTTTGGAACTAGATAGGGGGAGAAGTAGAGGGGAACACACTGTTTCTTGTTTAAACGAGAACCACACTGTCCCACCTGGAATGCTGGTTGGTTTGCTAGTAGGAATTATTCACTAAACAGTACTCTCTGATAAGCCATGGAAGAGCTCTCCCTTCATGCGGCATAGATAGAATTCACAAAAAATATTGCTTTCTATAAACAAACCCCCTATTTCACCCCAAAGAAAGCAGCAGCTGAACCAGAACAAAAGACATCCAAAAGGAATATCAGCCACAAACTTGTCTGTTCATCCAAGGCAGAGGCGCACACAGTGACACAACCCCAGGCGTGGACCGATTTCCTTTACCTCACTCCCCGACAACATTCCCTCKTTTCACTGGTGCCCTTCTCCAAGCCGTAAGGGATGGCACTCCCAGGGGATGGCGTTCATAGGGAATGGCATTCCCAACGGATGGCACTCCTCAGGGATAGCATTCCCAAYGGATGGCTCTCCTCCCTCCCCTGGCTCAGCGCAGCGGGCGCGGGGAGCGGCGGCCGGAGGCAGCCGGAGCAAGGGATTTAAGGCGCTGAATAAAGCCCGCGGCGGTATTGCCACACGTTATSATAGTAGGAGCAGGAGAAGGCAGCCGGCCCGAGCAAGGGGCTCAGCATCACTGCCCGCCCGCCCCGGCTACCGAGGGAGGCGAGGAGGAGGAACCGGGCCCTGGCATCGCGACACGCCGGGCACCGTGAGGGGCTGAGGCGGCGCTGCCCCCCCGCCGGCCTGGGCGAACCGCYGCCGCTCGCAACCCGCGACCCCCGCTACCCCCGCCCCGCCGGGCAGTACCTCATGTCTGTGCGGGCCCTACTCACAGCCCCRGCCACGGCCAGGGGACCGAGGGGCCGGAGGGGCCGGAGCGGCGCCCGCCGCCACCTCCGCCGGACGCGCCATCGCCGCCCTCGCCCCGTCTGAGGGGAGGGGGGAGGAGCCCCTCGCGGCCGCCGTACTGACGCGCGGCCGTGGCCCCCACGTGACGGGCAGAGCGTGCCACCAATCAGAGAYCAGGAMGGAGGCAGAGCCCCGCCCCCTCCGGCCAATCAGAGCTCTGACAGTCCCGCTCTGACGCGAGGCCTCCGCCCGCCCCCCACGTGACGGACAGGGCGTGTCACCAATCAGAGACCGAAGCGGAGGCAGGCCCCGCCTTCCCGGCTAATCACGGGTCTGCCCGGCTGACGGGGTCAGCWCTCAGGGAGCGGCGAGGGGGTGGCCGCGATCCCTTCTTGTCGCCTGCGGGAGGGGCCCTTATTGTGCATACGTTGTTAATTCATGAGGTAATTGCAGAKAGCGTCTCCTCCCTCTCCCCGGCAATGTCCCAGAGGTTGCGCTGGGCGCTGCAGCCTTCCTCCGCCTCTCTTGAAATGAGTGACAGCYTCGCTGGCCAATCGTACCTCGGCTTTCAYGACGAGCGGCGGCGGCCACTGCCAATCGCGAACGCCTGCTGGTCCGCCGGAGGTTGTGATTGGTTGCGTAGTGAAGGGGCGGTGCCCGCGGGCGAGGCGGAAGTGAGRGAGTGTCATGGCAACCGCGGGCGCGTCGCGGCGTTCGGGAGTCCCGCGGAGCCGGAGACCCTGAGCCCCTGAGGGTCGGCCGGGACTGCTGGAGCCTCTCGGTGCGGGACGGGTTCGCTTGGAGCCCTTGGGGGGCTGCCAGGTGATCGCAGGGCGGACGCGGAGCCGGCATGCGGGGTGTCTCGGAGGGGTCCCTCAAGGATTAATGCTGCAAAAATGGTCGCGTGATTTCCTGTCTCTCTACTCCCTGCTTTCCTTTTTCCTTGTTAACTAAATTTTCTTGGTTTTTTTTTTACTTTTTCCTTTCTAAAAGATTCCTGTTTATTGAGGACGACACACGCCGAGTGGGGAGAGGAGACCAGGAACCCAAGTGGTGATTTTTGGTGAAGTCACACGTAAGGTTCGCTGTATTCCTGGACAGGAATTCCCTATATTCCCTTTGCACTGCCGCTGTCTGAATGGTGTAGCTGGGTGGCAAAGTGCCCCTCTRCTGCATGGGACATCCTTCAGTAAATCCTGTGTCACTCAATGTTGYTTTTGTTGTACATACATCAGTAACTGAAAGGATTCTGCAGGAAAGCTGGAGATGGACTTTGGCCAAGAGCCTGGAGTGATGGGATAAGGCAGATGGCTTCCCAGTGCCAGRGGGCAGGGCYAGATGGGATATTGGGCAGGAATTGTTCCCTGGGAGGGTRGGCAGGCCCTGGCACAGGGTGCCYAGAGAAGCTGTGGCTGCCCCTGGATCCCTTTGAGTGCCCAAGGCCAGGCTGGACATTGGGGCTGGGAGCAGCCTGGGACAGTGGGAGGKGTTCCTGTTCATGGCAGGGGTGGCACTGGGTGGGATTTAAGAGCCCTCCCAACCCCAACCATTCTGGGATTCTGTGATCCTCAGTGCTGTGGATTKTCTCTGTTATGGCCAACTAAACCTGTTGATCTGGTCTGGAGCTTCTGTATCACAAAGACTCAAATTGCCTGCCAACAATGGCTGTGTTTTGTATAGAGTGCTCTAATTTAATTTAACTGGGTTTTGATTCCCTATTTGCCCTCCTGACATTGCAGTTGTCACAGTTTGGTTGCTGTGTTTTTCAGGTCACCATGAAGGCCTTGTATGGTCAGCAGAATTCTCCTGGAGAGGAAATGACATTTGTGTTCCAGGAAAGAGTGAGTTCCCATCAGAGCCTCTCTATTAATCTGTGGTAGGGGAGAGTTTGGCCAAATGCCACGGGGGAGCTGAAGCACAGAAATCTTCTGCAGGCTTGGGAAAGGATCCTTGCACACACAGGAAGGGGAAGGAAGATAGGGGAGGGATATTTTAGCATCAGGCAGCACATGCCAAAACTAGTGCTGGATTTCTCTGCAGTTTTGGTGTCCRAACTTTACAGACAAGCTTTGCATACATGAAGAAATGAACCCTAGGTCCACATCTCCTGGTTGGGTTTGCTGATCACTGAAAAAATAGAAATAGAACTTGTGAAATTTATCAGGTTTGGGCTGAGAACTCCAGTTTTTACTGGAGTTGTTTCTTTGCTATCAGTTGGACTTGAAAATTTACTTCGGTGGGTTTGTCAGGATAAAGGGAAAGATAAAGATAAAGGGGAAAAAAGCCTCAGCAGAAAAATAATGCCAGTCTCTGTTGAGGTTTAGTAAGGCCTGGTGGTCAGTTTGCAATAATAATATAATAATATAATGATGATGATTATGATGATGAGCAACATCTAGTGACCAGTTACCAATATAATAYTATATATATACCAATATAATATTATTATATTATATACTATTATAGTATATAGTATTATAATAATACTATAATTATATAATACTATAATGATATTGATGATAAAATAATTATAATACAGGTGTACGCAAAATGGTGTGGCAAAAGCCTTTTCATTGAAAAAATCTGTCTGTCTGCTCTGCCTACAAAACCATCTGAAAAGTGGAAAAGTGCTTTCAAGAGCTGGAGAAGCTGCTGTGAGCACAGACATTGTCTAATGTAACAACTGTAAATCTGTCCTAGGAGAGCCTTCCTCCCACCAGAGATCACGATGTAAAAGTGCRGGTCAGAGCCTGTGCTCTGAGCTGGGTGGATATAAAGGTATTTATTTGCTTGGTGTTTTTAACTGCTGGGGGTGTTTGTGGTTTCCGTGGCTCTTGGCTGGTGACTGGCACAAGCTGAGGCTGTGGCTTTACTGCTGAAAATGGGCACAGGACTGGGTGGGCTTCTTGCACATCTCTGAATAAAAAACATCTGGAGTTTGGTTCCTAATTTATRGAGACAGATCAGTTGCCAGGTGTGAATTCTCTTGCAGTAAATCCCTTTTATCTTTCTCAACCCTCTAAGTCACAGGCTGGCTTGGCTGGTAATAACTCCCTGCTTTTATTTTTTAATATGTTTCTAAATTTAAATATATAATTCAGTGCCATGGTTTAATATTGACTGAGGAATGTGTGTACTTTTGGGTGTACTTTTTTCCCCTGGATAACACTTTGGTAATGGCCCAACCTTGCTGTGATGATCCAACACTGTATGATAATAAAAATGCAAACGTAGAGCCTTAGCAAGAATGTTGTGGGYGTTGTTTTCATTTAGCTCCTGTCAGAAATTAAACTGAAGAAGGAACTTGTGCCTCTTGGGCGAGAAATTTCGGGAGTTGTGCTGGAAGGTGAGTGAGTGTCATTGCCCAGGGAGGGGAGGGAGCAGGGATTACAGTGAGAACAAAGAACTCCTCTTTGGGCAGAGCACTTTAGGAGCAGGAGCTCTGCTTCCTTGACTGCTCTCCCAGTGCTGCACTGGGGCCCTGCCCTGAGGTGGAGTGTCCACCTGTGTGAACTCACATRCAACCGTTTGTGGATGAGGTGCAAAGTTTAGGGAATTAAACACTTGTGTGTAATCACTAGATTTTTGTTTTCACTAGAAACGTGTATCTTTAGTTTTGTGAGCTAGTGATAACCAGTGCTTTCAAATGCACATCCCATTCCAGCTATAAATATTTATCTTCTTCCCTTCTTTCCCCCTTTTCACCTCTCCTTGGTGAGTTGGAAGCAAGGTGACCTTTTTCCAGCCAGATGATGAAGTGGTGGGTAAGTTAATGCCTGTTTGCCTCATCAACTGACACAATCAGTCATGTTTTCATAATGAATGACCCAGGTTAGAATAACTGGTAAAGCTATATTAACTATGTATTTTCAAAATTAAACTGCTGTCACATGAATAAACTTATAAATGGGAATTCTGTTCTAAGCGTGTTCTCTTAGGATTTGAAATAYTATGTTGTATTAAACACCAAAATGTGAGTGATGCCTTAGGAGAGAAGAGTTATTGCTTAGGGACATTCTTCAGACATTATATTTTGTGTGCTGAATGAAAGAATTAGAGGATTACTGAAGTTCTGAAAGGAGGACAGAGTTGTGTTTGGAGACTGATCCTTCTTGCATTATTTCCTCACTGCRCAAAAGCTGCTCCTATGGGCTGATTATTCCCTGGGCAAAGCCTGGAGACAGCTCCAGATGTGCACAGGCACATTTTTRATGGGAATTGTGAAAGACTGGACATAGCAGCTGAATTTGCTGAGGATTGCAGGGCAACGCCCTTTGGTCTAAATTGAGTGTAAGATTTGGATGGGAGAGGGAAGAAAATAATGGTTTTCCCTGGGGTGGAGGGGACATTAATTCAGGTGATGGAGCAGATGCCTGAACCTCCTGTTCAGGAATCTCCTTCTGTGGCCAGTGAAGGTGAAAAGCTCAGATATGGCCAATGGAGTTCTTTTCTTTCTGCCTACTCTGCGTTTGCATTCTGTGCCTTCCCTGTGTAGTTTGGTTTTCCTGCACTTCCTTTTTCCTATTTGTGCTTTTTGKCACTTCCACATTCCTGCATGTTCTTCCTCTGCTTCTTTCTGTGCCTTTGTTGGTGCCTTTACAAACCACGCATTCAGGAACTGGGGTGGCAGAGGAGAGGGGCTGTGGGGTGGCTGCTCTGTGCCTCAGATCCCTCCTCCATGGTCCATGGCCTGCAGTGGAGTGGGAGCACTCAGAGTGTGGAATGAGTTCAGACATCATCAGACAGAAATAACAGCTGCCAGTACCAAAAACCCTTGGTGGTGTCTCCATTCTTCCTCAATCCCAAAATGCTGTGGAAACACCTCTGGAACTGCCTCGTGCCCACAGACACCCCGGGCTGGGCTAAGGTTCTCTTACCTGTCCTAAACCTGCCAAGAAGGGACTGAACCCAGACCAAGTGGAACCAGGGAATTCCTTGGAAGACTGCTTTGGTTGGATCAATTGCTTGTGTGAAATTCAAGGTCTGTGTTGCCTTTTTTTATTCAGGAATTTTGCCCCTGGATTCTGAGGAGTCGGGTGTCTGTGAAGTTATCCTGGTTCACGAACATTATTTGGGTGTGTAGATCATACATTTTACTATTTTACTGTATTTGTAGACTTTGGTTTAGCTTTTCTAACAGGGAGTCGCTTCCCTTGGACTTGTGGGCACACTCTTTCCRTTCCAATATTCCAACATTCCAGCTGCTCCACCAAATCACAGAAGTTTGAACACTCCGTTCAAGCAGACTGGAACTGCAGAAAGGAACTTTCAGGGATGAGAATCAGGGAAAGCCTAGTATTAAAACATTGTTTTCAGTTATTGTGAGCTTCTCCTTTTCCTTTTCTGCGCATAGATTGCTTTAATGAGTAGGATACTGAATGTGGGAGTCCCTATCTTTCCTCCAACAGTTTGTTACCCTGAGCAAGCTATTATTTTGCTCAAAATTTGCTATTCCCAGAGAAGCTGTGGCTGCCCCTGGATCCCTGGCAGTGTCCAAGGCCAGGCTGGACATTGSGGCTGGGAGCAGCCTGGGACAGTGGAAGGTGTCTCTGCCATGGCAGGGGTGGCACTGGATGGACTTTAAGGWCCCYCCCAAACCACSCTGGTATTCTAAAACAGTTTGTGTTGTGTTTCTGTGACTGCCCAGGAGTTTCAGCTGTGTAGTCATGAGGTGGYTCCTTTAAACTTTCCACACTGGAATCCCTACTTTCATTGTGTAAAATATGCTAAAATATCCTCTCCATGGTTTCCTAATACACAAGAGGGAAACAGGAGTCATTGATATCRACCTGTTTGTAGGTGGAGCATTCGTGACTATCTGGAGGTTTTGCAGAATAAACCCCAGGGATTTCCTGGTTTTTTTTTTTCACCATCTCTTTTGTTTGTTTGTGTTTATTCCCCTCAGTTCACAAGCCAGAGAAGGTGTGTTGGGCAGAAGCTGCCGGGACAGTGCGGGACGGGCTCCGCGCGTACACGGCCCTGCATTACCTGTCCCAGGTGTCTCCAGGCACGGCTGTGCTCGTCCTGGACGGAGCAAGTGTGGGTAACCAGCACAGTTACACATCCCTCTGCACAGAGAGCTCTGCTAGCACAGCTCCTGCCTTCCTCACTGCACCCTCCAGGGCTTCTGTGTGACTGCTGGCAGTGCCCTTTGTGTCTGGGTTTGCAGGACAGGCTCTCCCACGGGAGATGCTTGGTCCTGCCTGGGGTGTGGGATGTGAGGAGAGGGAGGGTGTTCTGGGCTTCTACAATGGCACAGTTGTGCCCTGCGTCTCCAGGGATAACTGCAGGAAAATGCCTTATGTTTTTATTCCTTTCCCACCTCTGCTTTTGAATTTTTCTTGGATATAAATCATTTGATTTGCATCTCTGAAGTTCTTAGGTTAACAAAAACATGGGGCTCTCTCAGCCGAGGTTCTGTAATGTAAACATGGCTGAGGCATTTTCCTTGGAGGATTTTTTCCTTCAAGCTTTGAGTCCCAGCTGCAGGGAAGGTGGCTGTGGTAATTAAAGTTGAATCTGAGCTGTTTTGTTGAAGACAAGAACCAGTTAATGACTAAAAGTTTGCTCAGTGCTTCCCAGCTACCAAAGAGTCATTTTGGCCTCACTTAGGACAGAAGTGTATCTATGAATATTCACTTCTTGGTTCAGCTGTGTTTTATTGCAGGAGTAAGTTCATTTCTGAGTCTTCTCCTGAGTGGCCTTTGCAATATAATTGTTCTTAAATGGCATCAAATTGTTGCTGTGAATAAATTAATTAATAAATTAATCAATGAACCTGCTTTTCCATTCTCAGCCATTCGGTACCATCGCCATTCAGTTGGCTCAACACAGAGGGGCCAAAGT